ACAAGGACAAGCATCCTGGAAGAATTACTAACAAACACGGAACAAATAATTCCAATACATTTATTCCGTGTGGGAATCGAACCCGCGGATTTTAGAGCCGCAACTCAATCCTAAGCCACCACCGAGCCGTTTAACATTGAGTCTTTGTAAACGATCATAACATTTAGCATAACTGTCATCTGTAAGGAATATTAATTTATCAAGCTATTAGAAAATCAAATGCATAATCTCTAGTTATTTTGCTTTATTAGAAGTAATTATCACGTTAAACGAATATTACAAGCGACAGTAGCCTAATGGCAGGGCGCGGACCGCGAATTCAAAAAGGTCGTGGGGTCGAATCCGCCATTCGACTACTGGCGTTAACCATTCGTTCACGCTAGTAGTCGAATGGCGAAATACAAGCAGTTTGAGCTTACCACGAGTAGTTAAGGCGAATATTAGTAATGTTTATAGCATTGTTAATATTCTTTTTAATAAAATAAAAAAATTACTCATTCATTTAATGGAACTTCTTAAAAGTCCACTGCTGAACCTAAACCTCCATACATAGCGCATCTATATTTAACTATGCCGCCTCTTACGACACCCACGGTATGATAGGAGGTAGTGGAATCTCATGCGTAGAGCCACGTTTCAGCTATATTATGATTATGGCACGAGTGAGGCATCTTTACTGTGAGAAGACCACGCTCTCAAACCGACCAAAGTAAAATGGCCACTAATTTCTGCTGCGGTTCGTGTGGAATGTAAAGAACTACACACTTTTATTACTGGAAATGTGGCGTTCTATCCTAGTCCTCAAGGGTAACAAGTGCATTCATCAGCATTTTGATTCTTGATTAAAGATAGGTGTAGGTCTATATTGGTCACACACTGCGTCCACTTACCGTCAGGCGGATTGTGTACTTTTTTGTCCATTAATCTATAAATGGATTCTATTACACTACAATTTTATGACAATTTTGCTATTTACTCTTTCTTATTTATTTCTATTTATTAATCTAAACTCTTTACTTTACTTTACTCTTTCTTACTTATTATTCTAAAAATAAAAACTGCTTAATTAATTATATAACCTTCACCCACAAAATACAATTAGGTAACCCTTTTTAATAATTAATAAATACCCTTGCTCAGTGCAACAGAATAGCTCAAAAAGTCCACCTGATGGTAAATGAAGGCAGTAACATTTTTTAGATTTTGTAGAATAAGAATAAAGGAATTGATACGTTTTCACCAATAAACACTTAGGTGGTTCGCCTCGTTACCAGTAAAAAAGGTTCACCGGATCTCTTAACTTACCCTACGAAACCAAGCAGCGATATGCTGCAATTTAATATATTTCGCGCGAGGTCCTTTCCCAGTCAAACTGACGAAATAATATACATATACAACTCAATAATGTATTATTTTCAAAATTGGACTTCTATTAGACAAATATTTAATATATCTTATTCGGTTGCATAGTCCATATTGAGCTTAAATAAAAAAAATACTTTTGATATTTCTTTACGGAACGGAAAGACGTAATAAATATCTAAAGGGTCCAGTCACGTTCCGCTAGAGTCCTTACGTTTAAGATTTCAATTAAGATTTTCCAACAATAGTTCAAAAGCTTCCATCGTCAGTCCTTTCATAACGATCTTTGTCTTTACAATACTTTACTTCTTTATTTAGACGTTAATGTAAAATTGCAATCATTGTACATTACAATATTTATTTTCATTATTTGTATTAATGCAACACAACTTAAGCAAATATTCCCCTTATGAAGCGATATATGTGGAGGTCTGTGTTCCCCTTGATAGGCGGTAATTAATGAAAAATGGAACATTACGACCTGTAATGTCCCACTGCTGGGTACAGACCTCCTTTTATTTCTAAGAGGGTTTAAGGTTTAGAAAATACACACGCTTCCACAATAGCCTTTAATTCTTCATTTTCTACTTTGGTTTCCAGCCGTCCACGGGGCTCTGAACGTCGAAATTTCTAGAATGAAAACGTTTGAACCTAAAACGTACCGTGGTTTCTTTTGCGACACCAGCGCTGTGCACATTATTAATCCTTCGAGCTGTTTCTGCAGCACTTGTGCCCACGGTAGAACTCGTACTATACTCGTTAATATACCGATATTTCATGTTTTCCATTGTGCGGTCATAAGCGACACCAAAGAAAAAATAATGAGGAAAAAACAAATAAATAATTGTTTTCAAGATTCAAATGTACCAGCAAATTTAATTTATAAATTTGAACTTGGATTTCTTAACCAAAGAGGAGATATTTCAGATCAAAGTAGTCAGCACGACAAAATGCTAATTTCATATAATATAAAGACCCAATATTTAAATGTATGTACTTTGTATGTTACCAAAATTTTCCCTTAAAAAGCCTAGCAGCACAGTTTGGTAGTGTTTTGTAGGCAATACCAAGTATTCAGGCAGTAAAATAAAAAGCAAAAGACGCCATCTTGTCGTCTGTGGAGTCTGTCAAAGGTGCACGCGTGTATTTCGGCAGTGAATTATAACTGTGAATTTTTGACGATTTCAACAGTAAATATCTTATTAAAAACTAATATTGAAGGTGCTTATTAGTTTTGCTCACAATTATACTACATCTAATTACTTATCATCAGAATTCCGCAGTAATGCTGCTGTGTTTTGTAGGGTTAGTGTAGAGAACCGGAGACTTACTGGAGTTACTGGAGTCGAGGCATTCCATCTTAGTCCTCAGGATTGACAACGCATTTGCATTTTGATTCTTAACTGACGTGAACGTCTAGGGGCCACAGCATGCACTTGCCATTAGGTGAACTGTGTACTCGTTTGTCACCCAATGCTATAAATAAACCTCACCTCTTCTACACACATTATTAAACATTGGCTGATTTGTTCCTTTTAAAATTAAGGAAAGTCAGTGAAATTACTAGTAGTTACTCGTACAGGCCAGAACCAGAGTTTGAAACTTATCCAACTGCAGAGAGGTGTAAGACAGGGTAACGTTATATCCTCGAAACTCTTCACCGCTGCATTCAAAACCGACATTAGATCCACTTGAACCACTTTAACGCTAGCATTTTAAGTTCACTAGGAAAATGAAAGGCAATATTGGTAATATTAAAATTATTGTTTACATTTTTATTTTTTTATCATAATAAATATAAACACTATTACTCATAGTTTCGCAATTTTAAATTATAACTTGCAGTGTTAAAAAGTGTTGTAATATTATAATTAGAAATGATCCTTCAAGATGCTGTGATTTCCTGCGACGCTACGGTCTCTGTTTTTAATTACCGAAGTAGTTAAAATTACGGGGGTTTTAATAAAAATATCAGGCACGAGAATTTAAAAGGACTTCTTCGCGGAAACAGCTACTTAATTATATAAATTCGTAATATCGAGTTTCTAATTACAAAATATGCAATAATAGTTATTAAAATTATCAGAAATACATTTCTGTATATTTATGGGGTAAAAAAAATATTAGGTGTATTAAATAATTACACACATAAACAAATATCGCTTGAATATATGGCAATATAATCAAATTCATTAATGTTTAGAATATCTTTTGAAATTGAATAAACCCATTCGGTTGCCAGTTTCTTTTCATAATCAAAAAAAAGTCAAATTTTGAAGCTCCAACGTTGAGTGATAAAGATGATGTCGGTGTTTCGTGCAGCTTCAATCCCGTAGATATCGCATAATCCGTCCTTTGAGCTAATGGCGTATGGGCAACGGAAGCGGCAGCCTGAGCCACATCTCTGAAAGAGGGCAAAATATTCTGCTGCTTTTTTTAATTTCAAGAACGCTCGCTGCTTTTCCTTGTTTCTTTCTTGCTATAATTAACCCTATTGAGCAAAAAAACCAGCCCTCTTATTATCAGCAGCAAAGAAAAATCGCAGATACAGGTATTTACGAAGTTTGGAATCTCATGGTATCTAAGACGACATGTAATCCTAACGAACGTCCAACCTAGTCGCATATACGTTACGTTGGCTATCCACAGGTTAGAAAAGCTGAGTACGTACATCACTTAGGTATTCTCACAGAAATATAAATAATAAGAATGATTTCTGTGGGCGTACTGTTGTACCACATTTTTAGGGTAATATATCAACTGAGTCAATGGTGTAGTGATAGTAAGCGTGACTGCTGATCTGATGGTCTCAGGTTCACATATAGCGTGGAATTAAAAATTAGTTATGGGTTTTTCTGTCAACGTAGTAGCAACGCAAAGTCGGCAAATTGATGGTGTTTCGTCCTCGTGCCCCAGATAGATAGAGCCATAGGTAATCTTGATCTCTCTCCGGTCGTTTTGGATGGCCGAGCCATCGGGCTATGATAGTGAGGGAATAAAGAGTACACCTGTGTACACTATAGTTCTGCTCCGCGCAGGTGACTAGTCTCCGTAGAGAATAGACGCTGAACGTTATTATTATTTTATAGTAGTTTTATTTTAGTAATATTTTTTAAACCTTACCTCAACACTATGACTTACTCCTTTAACGTAGGAGCAGTTTACATACATTAATTTCACAAAAACAAATATCTAGATCCGAAACAATTATTTGTAGGCCATATAAAATACCTGTTCCGTGCGGGATTCGAACCTCCATAGATATCTATATCTATCCTCGATCACGAATCAAAATGCAGATGCGTTGTCTTTCATGAGGACCAAGATGGAATGCCTCGTTTCCAGTAAAAAGGGTTGCCGGTTCTCTACACTCACCATACGAAACATAGCAGCATTAAGATACTATTTTACGCTGGTATTCTGTGAGGACGTGCCCCGATTGAGCCTACCCATTTGTGCTACAACTACTCTTTACTACTAATATAACTGCAGCATGTCTCTACCACGTATAAAATAATAATATTGTTACACGTATAAAAATAATAACGTATAATAATGTAGTGCAAAATGAAAAAAAGCCCACTGGCTTTAATTTACGGAATTCCATCTATAAGTAGCAGTCTTACTTGTATTGGTAGTTAACGCCAGCTCCATGTGTAGAAAAAATTCGGAATAGGTCCGCTAGGAAAGTGTTTCGTAGTAAAAGCGTTAACGTCAACTTTGTGGGTATCAGCTTTTAGAACACTTATATTGGTCGCTGCGGTGACTTGGTTCCCGAAATTTGGTATGTGTCTCGCTTCCACACTCGCGCTGTGTCCGGCTCTGTTAAATTAAATATATAATTTAAAATCTGTGGTATATGTTTATATACATAATATAATTATCAATTTACATTATTATAATCATTATTATTTTATAACAAACAATTAATTGGCATAATAAATAGAGTGATTAGAATAATCAATAGTCCATCAAAGCTATTGTTTTGAAGATTGCAACAATAATAGCTGTCAGTATAAACGAGGGATCCCTATTTCCACATTGTAAATAAAATGTTATTTAAATTTATTTTCAAATTATAATATATGTTTTAAAATTATTCTCAAAGAACTGAGTCCTGTTTTCTTACAACTTCGAAACTAAAAATATTGTGCTACAGTTTATCTGAAACATGAAAACAAAATCAAACAGAATTTTTGTGATCAGCAGAAAACGAATTTTGTCTTCGAATTTGCTATTAAATTATACTTTCTCACTGCACACAGTACCACTTCGAGATTATCAAAAAAAAAAACTATTTTTACTTAATTATTTTTACACACGTTCGAAAATTGCAAGCGAACGCATCATGTTTTTTTTTAGTTTTACGTATAGCAACACGGTAAAACAACGTATAATGGAAGCAAAACAGAACCCACTTTTGTTTCGGCGACAGTGGTAAAAGTAAAGAAGTTATGGGCAGCAGCATCTTCGTGATAACGACTCAAATAGTAAAAATGTGTGTTATATTTTAAAATGTGATTAACAACCCACTTAACAAGTGTGTTAGCTATGGTAACAATCAACACTATGAATCAATCTATGGGGTTGCCTATGTTGAAAAGCAAGGGACTATTGATAGGCTGTAATGAATTAAATATATGGCAACAACTCTCATTTCACACCATTCTCTAAATATGAAGAACAGTCAGAAGAAAAACCTTTTTACAACTGTAGGCTCCTGAAATTTGCGAACATGTGAATTATTTTTTTTACTTGATATGCTTGTGGCCGAAGTAGGAAAAGGGGAGATCTCCCGCCGGGAAAGGTGTTCTGCCCGGGGAGTTTTAAGATATTATATAGGTAGTTTGGAGATGTTCTATATATACTGTTTTATGATTCGGAATGTTGATAGCGTGATTTAGGCTTCGGTGTATTTCGCTTGTGGCGCGAAGACAGCGCCGCCACATCACCCCCTGCTCAGACCGGAGGTCGATAGTGCAGTCGAGTTGTCGACGAATGTGCAAGCGCCAGGAGATTGCCTTGGTCTGCGGTGAGTCGAGAAGAAGGCAAGTAATCTGCGAGAGTGCCGTGAAGCAGAGGCGAGCAGTAAGGCTCAGAGCCGTGCGGAACACTGTATGGCGCAGCTTGAAGAAACAGGAAGCATTATTATTCCAGTGCTGCGATGAACCTTGTGAAGCTAGATGGCTTGCAGAATATGAAGACTACAGACGATATCAGCTTGGGAGCGAATGGGTGGGATGACGATGATGATGAAACTTGAAGTTTCCGAAGGTTATTTGGTTGCGCGTGTTCAGATCACGTCGGATTGTTACCACTGTGGCCGTGGAAGGAAAAGGGGAGATCTCCCGCCGGGCAAGGTGTTCTGCCCGGGGAGCGGCCAACGCTCCCTGTGATAGTTCGGAGATGTTCTATATATACTGTTTATGATTCGGAATGTTGATAGCGTGATTTAGGCTTCGGTGTATTTCGCGACGACAGCGCCGCCACATGCTTATTTGAAATCCTAGCACAACATAACACTATCCTTTATAGTATGAAATACAAAGAAAATAATACTGTTTTTTTTTTTGGAAACAATCTTTTCGCTTCTTTAAATATTGAATATGCAAATTTATTTTCTTTTAAATGTGCTTATGGTAGCAGAATGGCAAAAGAAACCTCAAAATTAGTTACTGGTCAATAACACAATCCACTGCACACTACTACTAATGGGTAAATTAAACATGTTTCATAAAAAATCAGCAAATCAGCTCCCACAAGCAGAACGTGTTCAAAAGTATGACGCAAATGGTTACCAGAAAAATTTAGAGTTGCACTTGTTAGAAATTAATGTTTTTTCAGAACGTTAAATTAAAAATTAAGCAAACAAAGCTGTCTTGAATTACCAAAAATACTTGCTTAAACAAACAAAAAAACATATGTAATAGATCCGTACTGCGGTAGCATTAAAAAAAAACAGAAGAGGCAAATATTAATAGGGACGGTTCATTTGAACTTCAAAAATATGTTTCTTAACATAGGTATAAACACGATATCTGCGTGGTTAGTTAGCCAATTCAGTTGATTTTAATTTAGCTAGAGTGTATTTTACAGAGTCATGTATAAATTCAAGCAAGATCCGAAAATAACTGAAATCGGCTTATATTTATTAAATGTTCAGATAAATAAAAATACTTAACACAACTTATAGTACGGGTTTCTGTTATTCTTTCAATTGATTATAAATATATACTTACTCGGTAATAACTCCCGCGCTACCAGTAATAGAATTGTAAGTTGGTCCAGTCGGTTCGGGAAAATTATAATTTTCTTTATAGCCATTTATTGATGCAGTTCCAAATAATCTCACATTATCGTTTACTTTGGAAGCAGTTAAACTCACGTCCTTGCTTTTATCAAGATGCTCAGTTCCGTTAAATTCAAGCGGCATGATTGATTTAAAAAAAAAATCGAATTAAATTACGGCCACTGTTTTAAGCAGACACTACCTAAATGAATAACTGCACTTAGGTCTAATGTTTTTATATACTGGGACCAACCAACCAGGGATTCACCGCACAATCTCTGGCAAAACGCACTTTTAATAAAGAATACACACTGAATACGTTCTTTCGTAATATAAGCTGTCTGTATTTATAATTTTTAAGCAATTGAATCATTAACAATTTGATACACTAAATAGTGATTATTTTCCGGTATTACCGTTAAAACTTTAAGATTGAAATTGCAATATTTTTATAAAATTATTTTTATGTATGACTTACTAGATACAGATACCTATACCTAGCTAAAAAACTACATTATTAATGAGTAAACTCGTAATTTAAACTATTTTATAAGAAACAAATTTCTATTGACTTGTTTCTTATCAACATAAGAAAACATATTTTAGCATGGTTATTTTTGATTGAGTGAACAGGGTGAATCCACACAATCGAAACAATTCTATTTTAGAGCTAGTAGAGTCGCTCATCAACCAAAGAGGCCCGTTTAACAAGAGACATTTCATTAACAGTACCTAATTTAGAAACTGTCACCAAAATCTTATTCTAATTTTATTTCTAAAATATTAATAATACATTTTCTAATTAAAAACCACTCGGAATAGTCTACGACATTTACTATCCTATAAATATAAGTATATTATTTATTATATTTTATTCTGCTAAGCATTTTCTATTTACTCTTTATACTAAGCAATATATATTCTTTACGTACTATGTGAAATATACTACAATAGTCCTCAAAGGCCCACTATACTGATGCGATTGCCTGGTGTTGCATTTACTCATGAGCAGTGGCAGTCACTTATGACCATGTGAGCTGCATGTTCGTTTGCCTTCTCTTCTAAAAAATCTGTTCATGAAGTATTAACCTAACGGTTGACTGTTCTTTGTAAAAGTTTGGCGATTATGGATATCGGTATTTATACGGGTAATAGTCCGTCCTATTCCTAATAGAATGATTAGGAATAAGACGGACTATTACCAAAGTCATCAAATAAGCATTAGGCTTATTTCCCTCAGCATTAAATGATCATGTTCTTTTTTTAGTAGATATAGTAGATTACATTGTCAACTTCCGAATGAATCGGACTCTTTTAAATGCGCATGATTTAGTGCCATAGGCAGGCGAAAACATGGCGGCATTCAATAGTCCGATCCACATACTTTAATATAACGCTTTTGCAATATAATTGGAGGATGACAGAATGTTGAAATAATACTAGTTTTTACGGAATTTATCACGTATTGTGAGGGAAAGCCTCACATCGACGGTGAGCTGAAGCGCGGGTTGAACGAAATTGGAGATGTGAGGGTGTGCACTTACTTCGAATGCAGATGGGCGGATGATAAATGAATGGTGCTGGGTGGCTGGCACGCTCCTAAGCTGGTTATGCCGTTAAATGTATACACGTGCAACTAAAGTCTTATATCATACACTGTCACTTTCACTTTAATGTTTAATTGCTCGTAATGATTATCACTTAGATATATTAGATACCGGCCGGCAATATATACGTAATTAAGGCGAGCCGATGAGCTGAAGGTCGCGGACGCGCTTTCTAACACCTTTTTTTGAACGAGGGCGGCGCGTGACTCCCTTCCGGGGGTTGCGACTGACGCGATACTGCTCTCGCGCCGAATCAATGAATGAGAGAGAGAGAAAGCGAATCAGGGAATCAATCGTCGCGCGCGAGTGGCGCGAACATCCTGGGGGGCCCGAGAGAGCACCTCTTCCTGGGCTGAATCCAACGGCAGCCTTGCTATCTTGAGCACAGGTCTGCGCAGATGTCCGTAGGCCGTGTCCAGATCCACAACTCGGATCACTCCATCCTTCCCAGGTATTGTATGGGTAATTCTTCCCAGTTTCCATTGTAGCGGGGGCAGGTTATCTTCTTTGATGAGTACAAGTTCGCCAACTTGAGGAGGTGAGGAAGGGGAAAGCCATTTGGAGCGGGTCTGTAGGGTATGGAGGTAGGATCTGGTCCACAGTGTCCAAAAGCGTTGAGAAAGAGCTTTTATGAGTTGAAAACGTTTAAGAGCAGATAATGGCCTGTCATCAAAGGACGGCTCGGGCAGAGCTGTGAGCGGATGGCCTATAATAAAATGGCCAGCGGTTAAGGGCTGAAGGTCCGACGGGTCGGATGAGAGTGGGCAGAGAGGTCTGGAGTTAAGTACAGCCTCAATTCGTGTCGGAAGTGTGGAAAATTCCTCAAATGTAAGGTGTTGTTCACCAATTACCCGATAAAGTAATTGTTTCGTAGATTTAATATTAATTTCATGTAATGCGCCAAACCAGGGCCCCTTTGGGGGGGTTCAACAACCAGGTTACGTGCTGATTGGCTAGTTTGTGTGTGATTGCATCATTATTAGCAGTGAGAAAATTTTGAACTTCTATGAGGTGATTTCTGGAGCCTACATAATTGTTGCCGCAATATGATCTAATTAGTACCGGCGTACCGCGCCGTGAGATAAATCGTTGTAACGATGCGAGAAAGGCTTCTGTGTTAAGAGCAGAGACGGCCTCTAAATGAACCGCCTTCGTTGAGAGACACACGAATATACAAAAGTACGCTTTTACGAGCTTAGCGTTCCGTAATGTGCCAGATTTAATGAGAAACGGGCCGGCAAAGTCAGTCGTGACTTGGCTAAATACAGGTTAAGGGTTAACCCTGTCCGCGGGAAGGTCACCCATTAACGGGGCTTCGGGTTGAGCGCGACATCGGAAACATCTTATACATTTAAACACCCTGCGTCTGATCACGCAGCCAGCGGATAGTATCCAGAATTGCTGGCGTAGAATGGCGTGTAGAGTGTCTGAGCCAGGATGGCAGTATATTTTGTGATAGTGGTCAATGATAAGGTCTACGAGTGGGTTGGAGCTGGGCAGAATGAGTGGATGTTGAGCATCGTACCTAATCGAAGCGTGAGAGAGACGACCACCGACTCTCAAGAGACCGTCCTTCATAAATGGCGAAAAGACGCTACAGTCGAGCGGTAAAAAAGTTTATCTGTTTGAAGACGGTGAAAGTCCTCTGCGAACTCATTTCGTTGAACGGAGCGGACCCAAAATAACAGAGCGTCCCTACGTTCACTAACTGTCAACAGACCAGCGCTTCGTGCCTCTGGACCGCGCTTGCAATTGAAAATGAAACGCCTGATACAAGCCGTCACCCCGACGAGCTCTCCAAGTGAGCTGAAACGAGTGAGCAGATCATGGTCAACATCCGGAATCGCTATATGCGCTGGCACCTTTTTCGGTTTAAGGCCTGGTAAAGCATGATGGCCTAAAGCAACTGGCATCTTGGGCCAGGTGTTAGGGGCTCTTTGAGCCAATTGGGAGCCCACCAGAGATCATGAGCTGATAGAGATTGTACTGACATACCCTGCTTGCACAGTCTGCAGGGTTGAGATTCGTGAAACATGTCTCCATATAGTGGTAGTCGGACTAGACGTTATTTTTGACACTCGATTGGCCTCGAATGTCTGGAGCCGTTGAGGGGGCGTGTTAAGCCAAGCTATAACTATTGTGCTATCCGACCAACAGATATGATGGTCAATCGCAATATGAGCTGATAATTTGGTGGACACACGAGTCACGAGTTGTGATAAAAGAACTGCAGCTCATGGTTCCAGTTTAGGAATTGAGAGGCGATTCTTAATAGGCGCGACCTTTGACTTGGCAATGACCAGGTGTACATTGACCTGTCCATTGGCATTGAGCTCATGAAGATAAATGACAGACGCAAATCCACCTTCTGATGCGTCCGCGAATCCGTGGAGTGAGTAAGTGGATGTTGGCTTATATTTGCAAATGTGACGAGGTAAGCGGAGATTCGAGAGTTGAGGAAGATCTTGTGAAATGTGCTGCCACTCTGTGTAAACTACATTGCCAGGAGGTTCGTCCCATCCCAATTTCAGAATCCATAACTTCTGTAAAAGGAGCTTTGCGCGGAAAATGACCGGTGTGACCCAACCGTTGGGGTCATAAAGTGATGCTACTGTGCTGAGAATAGAGCGCTTTGTGATTTTGGTTATTGGAGGGAGAGAGATGTGATAAGTGAACTCATCCGATTGAGGAATCCATTGTATCCCAAGCACTTTAATGGTGTTCGATTCTGGGCTGATGTCAAAGTCCTTAGGCATGTCACATTGGTCGTCTGGAAACCGTTTCAGGAGCTGGGGACAGTTTGAAGTCCATTTACTGAGCTGAAAGCCACCCATGCCAAGCAAATTAATTAACTCGGTTTGTAGTACCTGAGCAGACTCCACAGAGTCATGGCCACAGAGTATATCGTCAACGAATATAGAATTGCGTAGGATCTGAGCAGCTTGTGGGTAATGATTACCTTCGTCATCAGCTAATTGTAGCAGTTTGCGGATGGCATGGTACGGGCTGGACCGTAAACCATACGTGACTGTATTTAGCGCATATGTGAGCAGAGGCTGGTCAGGTGACGACCGCCAGAGAATAAGCTGATACTGTCTTTGGTCTGGATGAATGAGTATGTTTCTGAACATCTTTCTGATGTCAGTACTGAAGACTGCAGGGTGTGTTCTAAATGACATAATAATATCGACAATATCCTGTTGGAGAGCTGGACCTGTGTGCAAGCATTCATTTAAACTTACGCCATTTGAGCTTTTACTGCTACCATCAAATACAGTGCGTAGCTTATTTGATCCCGTCTTAAAGATGCCATGATGCGGAATATAGAAGTGCGGCCTACCTGCAAAGGTACTTGGGTGACAAGGTGACATGTGTCCTAAGTTGAGATACTCATTCATAAAGTCAACATATTGAGAGCGGAGGGGGCGGATTTGCTTGAAGCTTCTTTTCGAGATTGAGAAATCTACGTAACGCAATAGCATGAGTGTTGCCTAAGGTCGGTGCATTTGGTAGAAAAGGCAATGTTACCATATATTT